AGGTCGTTACTGTCACCGTACGAGGGGACGAGAGGGATGGCCACTCGGGGACCGGTCATAGAAGAAAGAGAATGCAGCCGTCATGTGGCAGAAATCCTTGATGCCAGGTGGAAGGGAATCAGGTGGAGTATTTGGTAGCGTGGGAAGGAGAACCGGGTCAGAAAACACGTGGGTAATGGCCGAAGATATCAATGACGAGGTTTTGATAGACACGTTCAATGAAAGGTTCCCGAGGAAAGCTAAGACTGTGGTGTGGTTCCGGAGGGAAGTCTTTGGGACCTCTGAGGAGGAGGAGGAGTTGGAAGGAGTCCCAGAATCGGCAGGGGAAGGGGAGATGGACTCGGAGGAGGAGGAGTGCTTCGAGACCAGGAACCGCAACAGGTGGAGAGAAGTGTTCGAGACATCGGAAGATGAAGGAAGTTCATTCCGGGGTTTGCCTCCTCACCGCCCGTAGAGGAGGGCGAGAGGGGGTGAAGGGGGCCCTGGAGGGAGGTGGATGTCAGGGAACTGCCATCGGAAGGAAGGGAGGTGAAAGGACTCAGACAGGTTGGAAGAGAGTCAGCAGCTGAAGAGGGAACCAGCAAGGGAGAGAAGCTGAACTGAGGGAGGTGAAAGGGCTCAGACAGGTTGGAAGAGACTCAGCAGCTGAAGAGAAACCAGCAGGGAGAGAAGCTGAACTGAGGGAAAGGGAGCTGGGGGATGGCTCAGAGATACTTCCAGCGAAAACAGTGGTGAGGTTTCCGGACCTCCTGTAGGGACACCCACTCCTCGCCGGAAACTGTCACGCAGAGAGTCCAGAAGACGTGTTTCCGTTAAGGAGCTTTTATGTTGGAAGCGATTACGAAGCAACCACTGTCGGAATCTTCTAGTGACTAGAGGAGCCATGTCAGAGGGGCTCAGTCACAGACAGAGGTTTGTGGACTTGAACAAACTCTGAGGGAATACGATTTTACGCACAAGCAGCTCATCTTCCCATCACAGTATCCAATACATTTTTTGGAAGATAAAAAATTAGCAGACTTTCATGAGCCGCTGAATGGGATTTATCGCTGGAGGGGAAGATGAAATTGTAAGTTTTGGGTTAAACTTACCAGGCAGTTCTACTTGTAAACACCACATGGGCAACAGAGCCTTTTGTGTGAGAGGACTTCACTGTGGGATCATGCCACTCATAAATAAGTATTTGATGCAGAAGGAAGGGATATCTCAACCACGAAAAGCTTTGAAGGTGCAGCATGCGAGGATTGGAAGAAATTCAAAGACTATTTACAGAAATATTGCAAAATTAAAGAATGTTAGAGTGATGTTGGATTGAAATTAAGTGGCTTCTAGCTGTACAGGCTTTAAAGTTATATATAGATTAAGATTAAGGATTAGGACTAAATAAATCAAAAGAAATGGAAAATTTGTTTTTAATAAATTAAAATTTAATGTTATATTATATTAAGATTAAGGATGGGATTAAAAAGGAGGAAAAGGAATTGCTGGACAAACAAATTGAATTGGAATACAAAAGAGGGAGGTATGAGGAGGTCCGTGAAATAAGTAAATGTAAAAGTTGTGATGAAAAGATGGAATTGTTTTTAACTGTTTTTTCTTTTTTCTTTTTGTATCTTGTATGGTGTTTTTTTTCCTTTTTATTTCTAAATTTCTTTTTTCTATTAAGATGTTTTTTCATGTGAAATTCCAATAAATATCATTTAAAAGAAAAAAGAAAAAAGAAGGTGCAGCATGCTGCTCGTATCTGTGAGTCTTGCATGGTGATTGCATCCATGAGTGCAGACCTTCCAAGTGTCCCTATTGTCCAATGACAGTCCCGGATTTACAGAACTGTCTCAGTTTCTGTTTTGATCCTGGAATGTTCTGCTTTTCCTTTAAGACACCCATATTTTCATTGAAATATAGACATATTGGAAGGTACGGTAGGGTGTCCCTATTTTCAACAGAGAAATGTTGGAAGGTGTGGAGCTATCTGATCCCAGAGCCATCTGAAGGCAGTCTTGTATAGGGAAGGGCTTTTTTATTTAAGAAAATGGTTAATGTTTTATTATGTTTTATAGATGTTGGGAGCCGCCCAGAGTGGCTGGAGCAACCCAGTCAGATGGCCAGGGTTTAAATAGATTATTATTATTATTATTATTATTATTATTATTATTATTAATGTCCCTATTTTCATCAGAGAAATGTTGGAGGGTGCATGAGAGTCATGGTAAGACAGAGCATTGATCCAGCTAACAGCATGCTGACAACTCTGACTGGTTGCAGCTCTCCAGAATCTAAGATCTTCACCAGCTATGCTACTGAGCAGGGCCGTCTTTATTCTGGGTGGCACCCACTGCTGAATAATAATAATAATAATAAGAGTTTGGATTTGATATCCCACTTTATCACTCCCCTTAAGGAGTCTCAAAGCAGCTAACAATCTCATTTCCCTTGCTGCCCCACAACAAACACTCTGTGAGGTGAGTGGGGCTGAGAGACTTCAGAGAAGTGTGAGTAGCCCAAGGTCACCCAGCAGCTGCATGTGGAGGAGCAGGGAATCAAACCCCGTTCACCAGATTACGAGTCCACTGCTCTTAACCACTACACCACACTGGCTCTGAAGCTGCCTAAGCTCTTAACTGCGATCCCTGAGTGATTGCAGTTGATGGGTCATTTCTGTTCTCTTTTGCGGAAGAGCTGAAGAATCAACGTATCCGGTGGTGCCCCCAGTGGTGTCTTTTATTTTTGCATGATCGCAAAAATGGAAAGATGGAGTTATCGCTGATGCTTTTTATTTTTTCGTGTTAGCAGTTTTTGCTGCTCCCCTTCTTAAAAGATCAACAACTTTGACCTGCCCCCCCCCAAAAAAAATTGGGGGCGCTGGGTGTATCTTTGCACCCTGGCGCCGCATATGCTAAAGATGGCCCTTCTACTGAGATCTTGGGCCCAGGATATCCCTACAAGTTACCATTATTCCTTAGAATCTGTTGTTACAGGATCTAAAGCATGGGTAGGCAAACTAAGGCCCAGGGGCCTGATCCAGCCCAATCACCTTCTATATCCAGCCCCAGTGTGTTTTTACATGAGTAGAATGTGTCCTTTTATTTTAAATGCATCTCTAGGTTATTTGTGGGGAATAGGAATTCGTTCATTTCCCCCCCAAAAAAATATAGTCTGGCCCCCCACAAGGTCTGAGGGACAGTGGACCGGCCCCCTGCTGAAAAAGTTTGCTGACCCCTGATCTAAAGACACCACATCCTCCGGTGACTTTCATTCTCATGAAACCCAACCTTGGGTAAGCAATAGAACCCCTGTAGTCTCTTGCCACTGGGAGACTGAAGTGGGTGCAACAGTATTTTTAACTCTCCTTTCAGCCAGGGCAGGGTCCAATCATCAAACTTAAGACCAGGCTGACTGCACAAACAGCAATAAAAGGCGTGCATGAAAGATGGCTAAACAAGTCACAGTCAAAACGACCAAAGTCCAGCCAAGTAATTAAATCCCTATAAAAAACCTGCTGAAATAGACAAGCCTTCAAACAGTGCTGGGAACTCATACCAGGGAGAGGGGAAGCCGTATTTAGGGAGCCGTATTAGAGCAGGTCCCTTCCCTGGTTCAGTTCCTGTATTCATCCTTTTCTCTTGAATAAACAATTTCAGTTAAGAGAGCTTCAAAAAGATACCTAACTGCCCAAGCACGCAAGAACTGCTTCCAGTCAGTAGACTACTGAATGCTTGGGAAACCAACGGCTTTATTCAGTGTAAGGCAACATCATATAGTCAGCTGTCCAAGCGCGGTACTGCTGGCAATTACCTGCCCAAATTCCATTTGCAGCCCACATGGCATAGTGGTTAGAGCAGTGGTTCCCAATTGCCTGTGACATATAATTCTTATTATTCAAAAGGTGAACTCCTATTCACATGGCGGCAGCGGCGTAGCGTGGGTTGTCAGCACTCGGGGCAGGGCAAGTAATTTGCGCCCCCTAACCCGGGGCAAGGCAAGTAATTTGCGCCCCCTAACCCCTAACCTGCCGCCGCTGCCAGCTTCTTCTTGCTGCTGCCTGGGCTGGTCTGGTGTGGTTCTCTCCCGTGCTCAGCACTGCGCTGGGCGGCCGCTGCACTGTCCCTCCCCCAGATAGTCCCTCACTCTCTCTCCGCACCGCACGCCTGGCACCCACCCCCTCCACAGTGGGCGGCGACCCAGCGGCTCGGATCGGATTCGCACAGCCAGCACTGCAGTGAGAGAGAGTGAGTGAGCCAGGTAGGGGCAGAGAGCTGCGAGTGCGAGCGCGCCCCCCCAGATGTTGCGGCCGGTGCGGCCGGCCCCCACTGCACCCCCCACACTATGCCACTGCATGGCGGAAGCCCAAAAGGCCATTCACTTGGTCTAACTCATTCTCGAATTGCCCCCCCAATCAAATTTCCCCCCTGTGGGGTGTGTGCCCTACATTGGGAACCATGGGGTTAGAGTGTTGGACTAGGATAATGAAGGATCATCTCTCAGCCTCATGGCACATGAACTACCAGGTTATGTGCTCCCCAGCCAGGAAGAGTGGGCAAAAGTCTCCCTCCAGTGTGGTGTAGTGGTTAAGAGCGGTAGTCTCGTAATCTGGTGAACCGAGTTCACTTCCCCGCTCCTCCACATGCAGCTGCTGGGTGACCTTGGGCCAGTCACACTTCTCTGAAGTCTCTCAGCCTCACTCACCTCACAGAGTGTTTGCTGTGGGAGAGGAAGGGAAAGGAGAATGTTAGCTGCTTTGAGACTCCTTCAGGTAGTGATAAAGTGGGATATCAAATCCAAACTCTTCTTCTTCTCTTCTTCTCTTCTTCTCTTCTTCTCTTCTTCTCTTCTTCTCTTCTTCTCTTCTTCCCTCCTTGCTAAGTAAGCCTTGGGTAAGGGAACCCCAGCCTACTCCCTCAAGCCCTGCTGTGCAGCATTCACCATGAATCGTAGAACTGTAGAGTTGTAAAGAACCACGAGGATCCTTTAGTCCAACCCCCTGCAATGCAGGAATCTTTTGCCCAATGTGGGGCTTGAAACCACAACCCTGGGATGAAAAGTCTCATGCTCTACCAACTGAGCTATCCCAGACACACAGGCTGGGCCCTAAGGGAACCTCCCAATTATCCCCAAGCTTCCAGCTCTGGGTGATAACTCAAGAGCACCCCCCCCCAGTGCCCCAGGGATTTAGTAAATCTAGATCTACCTGCACTGAATGCCAATCTGCCAAGTAATTCCACATTAGCAGAAGATGCTCTACAGTGTGAATAAGGCTGAAACAGAGAGTCCCAAGAGCTAATCAGGAGCTCTCCCAAAATTCCAATTCAGCCCCATCAAAGCTGACTAGACAAAGCCCTTACAAGTGCTGGATTTGGGGTGGTGCAGGCGGTTCCCTTACTCAGGGTGAACAGCTGAGGGGGCACAAAATTAAGAAGATCCATTCTGGGGTACCTCACACAAGGTGCTATGCGGAAGATCACCAAAGTCCGCCTGTGCCCACTCTGCAGAGGGAGGGAGGTGGAGCAGCCCTCAACAGAAGGCTATTTTTCTCCCTTAAATTGGTCCTATGGACTCTCATGGCTTCTAGGCTGCCACACCCCCTCTCCCCCTAGAGAAGGATATAGCCTTGAGCATGGGTAGGCAAGCTAAAGCCTGGGAGCTGGAGCTGGAGCTGGCCCAATCGCCTTCTAAATCCAGCCTGCGGACGGTCCAGGAATCAGCTTTTTTTTACATGAGTAAAATGCATCTCTGGGTTATTTGTGGGGCATAGGAATTCATTCATTCCCCCCCCCCCAAAGTATAGTCCGGCCCCCCACAAGGTCTGAGGGACAGCGGACCAGCCCCCTGCTGAAAAAGTTTGCTGATCCCTGGCCCTGAGTCTCCTTTCCTCCAAGGGGTGGGTGAGACAAAGCCACCCCCGCCACTGGCAGGAATTTCACAAGACTGCTGATGAGACTCGGTTCCAAATCCCCGAAGCAGCCGAGAAACTGCTGAGATGGGGCGGCTGGGGGAGAGGTCCAATTTGAAGTGTGAGTTTGTCACTTAGCAGTGGCAGCAATCACATTCACTTTTAATGAGAGCAAAGATCCTATGAGTATATGGCACTAATGGGATGCAGAATTTTTAATCCAGGGCCTTCTCTTTAAGGATGCGTCTTATGCAACAGCACATCTGGGCTTAGGCGTTTCTTGGGGTGTGGTGGGAAGAGCCTTATGGCATCTTCAACAGCAACTGGTTTATTGCAGCATCTACTTAGCTCTGTATCATATAGAACCCAAACATGCAAAAGACTACAGCTGTGATGGCCTGGGACTTGGGCTCGGACTCAGAACCAGAGGAAACTCAGTCTGCACCAGATCCTTTGCCTCAGGCATCATCTGAACCAGGTCTGGGGCCTGATCCTGAAGAGCCCCAGTCTGCACAAGTTCCCCTGCAACAAGCACCAGCTGGGCCGAATCAGGGGCCTGAGCCTGCCCTGGTTCCAGATGCAGGGAGTACCTCGTTGCCTTCAGCTGGGCCATCACTTACAGCTGCTCCACTACCGGTTGGGTCAGGGGAGGCTGAGGCGGCCCCTGGGTCTAGTAACCCACTGATGTCTCCCGAGCTGCAGAGACTAAGGTCTGAGAGAAGGAGAGACCTGAGTACTCGCAGGAGGAGTGCTCGCCTTCGGGCAAAACAGGGAGGTGAGTCACTGGGGGATCAGGACTGGCCGTTACCCCGACAAAGATAAAAGGCTGTCGGACCCCGCCCCAGGTTGCAGGAGCAACACTGCTGTATGCTAGACCCTGCCTGAGATCCTGTACCTGTCCTTGCCTGGTTTTCTGCCTCGTGTCCTGCCTTGGCCCTGTCGGACTGACTCCTCGCAGAACCTTTGGATTCTGGACCGGTCCTGGACCGTGTTTCATGGGTTAGCCCCCGGGCCCAGCACAACAGCATTCTTAGGAGGTCAGCTTCACTCCGGCAATACAGCTCAGTTGGTAGAGCATGAGTTTCTCAATCCCAGGGTCATGAGTTCGAACCCCACATTGGGTGAAAGATTCCTGCAATGCAAGGAGTTGCGTAGATGACCCTCACGAACCCTTCGAACTCTACAATTTTTTCAACAAGGATAGCTCAGTCAGTAGAGCATGAGACTCTTAATCTTAGGGTTGTGTATTTGAGCCCCGTTTTGTGCAAAAGATTCCTGGATTGCAGAGGGTTGGGCTAGATAGCCATTGTGGTCCCTTCCAACTCTACCATTCTATGATTCTATACCCAGAGCTTGAGAAAAATTCAGAGTTTGAATGGGAAAGAATCACAGCTGCTGGTGGAATCCTAGTTCAGCAATTCCACTGTGACCTTTCCTTGCTGAAAATGTTGCGTTCGAGGTCAGTGACACAAATGTCCTCCTGGCTCACGACGAACCTCTGAAGTAGCTTCGTTCGTCAGAGACTGAGTTGCACCTAGCAGGACTTGGCCCATGTGTCAGGAACAGAGTTTTCCTATTCTTCAAATGCTTTCCTCCTCACTGAAAGGAAAGAACCAAAGCGAGGCACGGGGCAGGCGGGGGAATCTGAAATACCAAGGACTGACCTTTCTCTCTCCATCACTTTCGGTTGGATCTGAGCATTAACCTAGAAAAGGGGTCGCAGGCAACACGGGGAAGTGTGGGGTTCGGCTGAGAAAGGTACTGAGCAAATGCGATGGTTTGCTGTACAAAGTTCTCTTGCCGGCCCCGACTCGACCTTTAAATCTTCCAGAGGGAAATGCTGGTGACATTTCCACATGCCTCCCTCCACACACCCTTGCACATGCATGCACACGCCACACTCTGTGACAGGCACAGTTTTCACCACCCTGTGAATGGCAGATTCAAAACATCCTCTGGCCAGTTTGTCTTTGTCACAGACCTTCACTCTAGTGCTCAAAAATCTCTCCTCTATCTCTGGCACATGCCTATCTGTAGTGAAACCGAACAAGGCAACTTAGGACTGGAGATTTTGAGATATTGCCATTCCTCTGCTTCTCTTACAGATGATAAGGACACCAAAAGCCCATCGGTATTATTGTTGTTATCCAGTACTTTTTTCTGTGGGGGTGCAGGGGGACGTATACCCCTAAACATTTTGTGTTGCCCCGACATTTTGTGTTGCTGACGGACGGACCAATATGCCAGCTATCTCCACAGCAGTAGTGTGGACTGGAGCTATGTCATTCTCCCTGCTGGTGCCCGGGGAGGGGAGTCTGGGGCGGCCACACTGGAGGTGATGGCACTCCTACTACTACTAATACTCTTGCCGGGATAGAGCCAGCTGGCAAGCACTTGCCCCTCCTCACTCAAGCCCAGTGCCGGATTTACATATAAGCTAAAAAAGCTATAGCTTAGGGCCCCACTCTCTTGGGGGCCACCAAAAAGTTTAAAGGAAAAAACCACTGTATGTACATTTCCAAAATATAAGATAAAAAACAAATAAAATAAAACCTACATACAGCAACCGTGTTTTGTGTTGTGTAGGCTCCTATGATGTAAGTCATGGGCCCCGCCTGCTAGCCTGCTCCCTAAAATATCACTGGTTTGCTCCTTTCTATATAAAGGGTGCCTACATTCTGCATGGACTGGTTGTAACAATTACTTTGATAAAATACATATTTTGTTATTTGCAAATGGCTTTAGATACCTATTAGGTCCATAAATTACCACAGAGCATATATTCAACACAAAAACCAGCGACCATTTGTTGTTGACAAAGGACAGCTGGACATATAAAGGGCCCCATTATCTTCAGTAGCTTAGGGCCTCATCAAACCTAAATCCAGCCCTGCTCAAGCCGACACTGCCATCGTTGTTGCCTGGGGCCTTCCCATCTTCTCAGCACTGCCGCCACGAGTCCCTCATCCGAGGGTTGGAGGGGGTTGGCAGTGAAGGGAGGCGGGAGGGGGAGCAGCCAAAATGAGAGCACCCCTAAACATTTTTTAAAAGAAAAACGCACCATTGTTATCTAATAAAATTTGCATTCCTCCTGGTTATAAAAGCATCCCCCCTTCAAAGCAGTTTACGAAAAGATTAAAAGAATCAAATCACTGCCAAAAAGAATTAGAAACAACTATATATATATATATATATATATATATATATATATGTACCAGCAATAAACTAAACTAAAAGAAAACAAAAAACCTCACACATTATCATCAGTGTAATAAAAGCACCTACCTGATGTCAACAGGCAGGGAGTTCAAAAGTGTGGATGCTGCCACACTAAAAGAGCCATTTCTTACAAGCAGAGGAGGAGAAGAAGAGTTTAGATTTGGTATCCCGCTTTACCACTACCTGAAGGAGTCTCAAAGCGGCTAACAATCTCCTTTTCCTTCCGCCCCTACAACAAACTCTCTGTGAGGTGAGTGAGGCTGAGAGACTTGCCCAAGGTCACCCAGCAGCTGCATGTGGAGGAGCAAGGAAGCGAACCTGGTTCACCAGATTACGAGTCTACCACTCTTAACCCCTACACTACACTGGCTCTCTAGAATAAGAGATTATGTAGCACCTATAAGGCTACCAGTTACAGAGTTCGAAGTGGTCCAGTGGGCATATATGGAGTAAGGCAATTTCACAAGTAAACTGGTCCCCAAGTTGTTAGGAGTTGTATATACTAATTGTACACACACAGAGACACACATTATTTTAGGGCTGTATATGCTAATATGAACACATTTGGTGAAGCTCAAGGTATGCGAGAAAGGAGAAGGCAGGGGTGGGGGAAGGGGGTTGCAGTGGGGGTGGCTCGCCCCAGGTGTCACCACTGAGGGGGGTGACAAAATGCTGGGCGGCACTTACCACGGGGCCTGCAATGCGCCCAAGCTGCGCATCTCTCCTGGGAGAGACACGGTGGCTTTGGTGCACACAGGCTCCATGCTGCCCAAATGGTCCTCCTGCTGCCTCCCCCCAGCTGTAGGGTGGCTGAGTGGGAGGAGGCAGGCTGACACCTTGGAGGCCCCGCGGAGCGCCCTGCCCCTGCTCGCTCCGCTGCTGGGAGAGGGGAGGGGTGTTGCCTCGTATTTACAGGACCGTCTCTCCTGGTATGCCCCACAGAGGACCTTAAGGTCCATGAATAATCATAGTTTAGAGGTCCCGGGCCCTAAGGAAGTCAGATTATCCTCCACCAGGGCCAGGGCCTTCTCAGTGATGGCTCCGACCTGGTGGAATGCTCTGTCCAGGGCCCTGCAGGATTTAACTTCCTTCCGCAGGGCCTGTAAGACAGAGCTATTCCTCCTGGCTTTCAATTTGAACTTAGCCTGATCTTTTATTTCCCCTTCCTTCCCTCCCCCTCCCCTTTTTATGAAAATTACCCGCTCTGGGATCCCACGGCTAATTCTCCCCTGGCCTCCTCGCTGGCCCAAATAGGACTAATTTAGCCAGCTAGCCCTGGTGTTCATCTAATGTTTATTGGATGGATTTTCCCCCTAAATTGATTTTTGAATTCTGAATTTATTGTTATTCACATTTTATACTGCTTTTTATGCTGTTTTTTTGTTATTGCATCAATTAAGTGTTTTAAATTTGTTGTTAGCCACCCTTGGCCTCGTTTTCTGAACCTGGAAGGGTGGGGTATAAATAAAAAATTATTCAATTTATTGTTTGCTTCCAAAAAGAAGCCAAGCTATTTCTGAGCTATTTGCTACTGAACATTAGGAAGTGCTTTCTGACGGGAAGAGCTGTTTGACAGTGGCACAAATTTGCATGGAAAGTGGTGGGCTGTCTCCTTCCTTAGAAGTTTTATTGCAGAAGCTGAGTGGCCATCAGTCTGGGGTTCTTTTTAGCTGTGATTGTAGGGGTTTAGATGACTCATGAAGTGAGAGCTGGACCCTAAAGAAGGCTGATCGCCCAAGAAGTGATGCTTTTGAATTATGGTGCTGGAGGAGACTCTTGAGAGTCCCATGGACTACAAGAAGATCAAACCTACCCATTCTGAAGGAAATCAGCCCTGAGTGCTCACTGGAAGGACAGATCCTGAAGCTGAGGCTCCAATACTTTGGCCACCTCCTGAGAAGAGAACACTCCCTGGAAAACACCCTGATGTTGGGAAAGATGGAGGGCACAAGGAGAAGGGGACGACAGAGGACGAGATGGTTGGACAGTGTTCTCGAAGCTACCAGCATGAGTTTGACCAAACTGTGAGAGGCAGTGGAAGACAGGAGTGCCTGGCGTGCCCTGGTCCATGGGGTCATGAAGAGTTGGACACGACTAAATGACTGAACAACAAGATGACTCATGGGGTACCTTCCAGCTCTATAATTCTATTATTTTCTGCCTTTAAAAAATGTCTTATTTTCCAAACCGCCCTGCGATGAGATAAGTTGTTCATCTCTGTTAATTAAAGAGTCCCTCACTCACATTTCAGTGTGTGTGTTTTTTTTTCAGGCTGGTTGTTTCACACTGAGACTGATCCATGAGTGCCTTCCCAGGGGGGCCTGATGCTTCCCCCTCCATTAAAAGGAGCAGAGCAGTCCCCACCCCTCTGCAGAGACCAGCAATGAGGCTGGGGGATTTTAAAGGAGTGGGTTGACTTTGAAGTTCTGCATCATCATGCGCAGGGGCAGGGGGGAGCCAGTTTTATTGTTAGACGGCTTCTCGTGGGGAAGAGAGGGAAACATGCACTGTTTCGGCAAGGCTTTGATGTTGCTTGCTGAGCAGAGAGGGACTGGCTGATGCAGCAGGTCAGGTGCCCAGAGTATATAGCCAGGCAAAGCTTCAGAATTGAAAAGATTTGTCAGGAAGTTTGCCTCCTGACGATCGCCATGTCATCGAGACCTAGAAACATTGATCGAGGCGATGAAAGAGAGCCCTTTCTCTGCCCAGCAAGCCAGATACCCAAAATTTGAAATGCAGCAATGTCATTGTTGTAGTGCTTGGTGGATAGAGCCCTCCTGCCTTTTAACATATTACTCAAATTGTGCTTAAGCAGAGTTGCATGGTAAAAAAGAAATCACACTATAAGAGGGTGTTGTCTTTTGCCAAATGCAAGGCGGTTCTTTTAAAATGAGATTCAGAAGCGATACAAAATACACAAGTGAGTGAGAATATTAAAGGTTTTATTACAAAACAGCAAGCAGTATATAGATACCAAGCAAGCACTTTAATCTGCCACTTGGAAGCCCTCAAGAAGTGGCAAAGCAACTCCCCCAGGTAGCCTCAATTTGCACGGCCCCACAGCCAATCAGTCTGTGCACAAGCTTCAAAGAAATCCTGCCCCAAACCATCCAATTTTATAGATAGCCAGTGTGGCTTTCAGGACTGGCTACGTGCAGATCACTTATTAACCACCCCCTCCCAATGCCTCACTTTCTCAAAGCAATGTCCAGCATCAAAGAAGGTACCCAGCCCCAGGGCTGGATTTAGGTTTGATGAGGCCCTAAGCTCCTGAAGGTAATGGGGCCCTTTCTACGTCCAGCTGTCCTTTGTCAACAACAAATTGTCGCTGTTTTTTGTGTTGAATATATGCTATATTGTAATTTATGGACCTAATAGGTATCTAAAGCCATTTGCACATAACAAAATATGTATTTTATCAAAGTAATTGTTGAACTGAAATACAATTTTGGAAATGTACATCCAGTTGTTCTTTCCTTTAAATTTTTTTGGGGCCCCCAAGAGAGTGGGGCCCTAAGCTATAGCTTGTTTAGTTTATACGTAAATCCAGCTCTGCCCAGTACTATCCTCCACAACTGATTAAGACAGCGGGGGGGGCGGGCTTCACTTCCTCCCAACGTTCTCAGGACATCCAAGACTGTTCTCAAACTATCAAAAAACTTAACAAGAGGGAGGGAGGGGGAAGGAACAGATGCAGAAAGTGTAACTATATCAGATCACTAACTCTTCGATATACATTTTGTCTTCCGGGTGCATTTTCCATACAGGCGTCTTTTTGAGCCATTCCAAATGGTAAGGAACTGCTTTTTTAAAAAAACAAAACAAAACATTTCCTTACTATGTGCAACAGCTCAAAAAGCTACCTCCCCATGAGATTTTGGCAACAACTGATCCAAAATCAGCAACTGCTAATTGCTAGTGGTAGTGAGAACATTCCCCCCTATTATGGGCGAACTCACCTGAAAACAAACAATTCTGATCTTAACTTTGTAGCTAACTTAACCCAGCAAGTGTTAAAATCATTAATGCCTGCTGGAAACGTTTATATTCCATCAGGCCTAGGCAGGCAATTAATAATACATCCATCCACACTGGTTAATTGATGTCTGTTTTTGACATTTTTTACCAGTTCCCGCTGTATGGTTTTATGTTTTATTGCGGTAAATAACACACATTTATGACAAAGCATTCTATATAAATACTTATATAAATAAATAAACTTTCTACAATATGTTCTCCCCAACAAATCAACTAAATCAACTGAGTTGAATAATCTACCCATTGAATCAATTAAAGGTTTCCAACCCTCTGCTAGTCATCCTATATTTTGGGGCTCAGTCATGTGACCTTTTTGGTGCAAGAGCCTCACCTCTGGATTGGTTTCTAGCTTAACACCACCACACCATTCTTGGCGGAAGCATTTTAATAACTTGATGTTTGTCCCATAAATCCACCATGGTTCGCTCCTTTCCACTCTAATTAAAGGGAAGGCTTTGCCCAGTTAGCTGCAGGAGGCCCAAAATTTATGGCACTTTTGCATAATGCAGACAACCATATAATTCATGCGGGACAATTGCACCACAAAGTAGCGTGCATTTGACACATTCCTGAATAATTTGGAACTGCTTTGTGGAAACTTGTCCAGGAAACCTACCTCTTTCAGGGTCAACTTCCAAGAAACAACATGTTGCTGATGTTGGTTGAGTGTATGAGAATAAGGAATGGCAGCTCGGTGTAGCTCAGTGGTAGAACACCCTCCTTTTATGCAGAGGGTCCTAGGTTCAGTCCCTGGCATCTTCAAGTAGCACTGGAAAAGTCCTCTTCCTGAAACCTCTGTAGGCAACCCTGAGCAGGGTGGACAATGGTTTGATGTAGATTTCCATGCTCCTAAACCTACAAGTCATTTCTATGTCCCAAGCAGAACCAATAAGAGGCAGATGGTACAGCCAGCATTCTGAATGTGGTTAATAATAATAATAATAATAATAATAATAATAATTTATACCCCACGGATCTGGCTCGGTTTCCCCAGCCACTCTGGGCAGCTCCCAACCAAATATTAAAAACACAGTAAGAGAATAGGGACCACCAGAGCAGGCAGAGACCAATCAGTGATCCAGGTGATGCAGATGGTGCTGTGGTCTAAACCACTGAGCCTCTTGGGCTTGCCTATCGTAAGGTTGGTGGTTTGAATCCTCATGACTCCCATTGCTCTGTCCCAGCTGCTGCCAACCTAAAAGTTCAAAAGCACGCCAGTGCAAGTAGATAAATAGGTACCACTGTGGCGGGAAGGTAAATGGCGTGTCTGTGCACTCTGGTTTCCGTCATGGTGTTCCATTGCATCAGAAGTGGTTTAGTCCCGCTGGCCACATGACCCAGAAAGCTGTCTGTGGACAAACTCCAGCTCCCTCTGCCTGAAAGCAAGATGAGCACTGCAACCCCATAGTCACCTTTGACTGGACTTAACCATCCAGGGATCCTTTACCTTTTACTTTTTTACCAGGTTCCAGAATGTAAATACAGGGGAAGGCTCAAGACATCTTGAGAAAAGGAAGCAAACATGTCATATGGGGGGGGGGATAGATGGTGTTGGACCAACTCCCAGCATGGCCAAATGATATGGGGTGAAGGGAGTTGAAGTATCTGGGAGGCCACAAGTCCCTCAGCCATAATACAGTGGTACCTTGGGTTACAGATGCTTCAGGTTACAGACTCCACTAACCCAGAAACAGTACCTCGGGCTAAGAACTTTGCTTCAGGATGAGAACAGAAATCGTGCAGCAGCAGCGGGAGGCCCCATTAGCTAAAGTGGTACCTTAGGTTAAGAACAGTTTCAGGTTAAGAACGGACCTCCGAAACAAATTAAGTTCTTAACCCGAGGTACCACTGTACAAGCCAAGAGCAAAGTGTGCCAGATACAGAGGTTTCAGGACCCTGGACAGCTCTCTGAGAGCCGCTCATCTCTTTGAATGGTGGAGACAGCAGCTAGATGTGCTCTAGCTCTGTCACTTCACTCTGCTTGTCCTCAATATTCATCCAGTCCACTTCTCACATTGGCCAACCAGATGACTGAGGGAAACCAACAAGCAGGGTCTAAGCACAAGAGCACTCCTGGCTTCCAGCAACTGGTGTTCAGAAGCATTGAAAGCCTAAGAAGAGCCTGGTAAATCAGGCCAATAGCCCATTTTGTCCAAACTAGATAGCTAAGACAAAGTCCTGGAGGAAAAGGCAAGTGAAGGCTATGAGCCATGATGTCTGTGTTCTGCCACGACGGTCTGATGTTGTCAGGGACTGGGCAGAGGAGGAGTGGTGGAGGAGGCCACCTCCCCAGCCTGACCCTTCCAGAGAAGAAGGAGACATTTCAGAATTACAACAGGGGTTTGAGGGAGGTCACAGCTCAGAGGCAGATGAGGGGGGAAGCTGGGAGATAATGGGAGGAAGCAGCAGCACCAGGGGAGAGACAGCTGGTGGACTCAGTGTCTTTAGAAAGCATCCCAAACTCCCCCCTCCCAGGACCCTGCGATCCTTGAAAATAGGAGAGCAAAGGGCTCAAAGGCATTTTCCAGCACCTGTAGCAACGACTCATGAGGAAGTGGGGGAGACGGAGGGGAGGGGGGTTTCACTCGGAGCAACATCATTACTCCAAGAGGCTGCATTTCTAAGCCTCTCTCTGTGAAGATTGAATGAAATGCATTGGTAAGAACTTTCCTTGTCTTATCCATTCCTGGCAATGTACTGTGGGGGGAGGGGTGGCTCCTCTGACGCCTGACAGTGGAAACCATAGGAGGGGAGAGGGCTCTTGTGCTCAAATCCTGCTTGCTGATTTCCCGCAGGCATCTGATTGGCCACTGTGAGAACAGGATGCTGGAGTAGATGGGACATTAGCCTGATTCAGTAGGCTCATCTTATCTTCTTATCTTCTTATCTTCTTGTAGGCACCTGTGTTTCTACCAAAGTCCCATCCTCTTTTCTTAAGCATACAGTGGTACATTGGGTTACAGATGCTTCAGGTTACAGATGCTACAGGTTACGGACTCCGCTAACCCAGAAATAGTACCTCGGGTTAAGAACTTTGCTTCAGGATGAGAACAGAAATTGTGCTCCAGCAGCGCGGCGGCAGCAGGAGGCCCCATTGGCTAAAGTGGTACCTCAGGTTAAGAACAGTTTCAGGTTAAGAACGGACCTTCAGAACGAATTAAGTTTTTAACCCGAGGTACCACTGTACAATATTTCTTTACACATTCTTTGATGAAACTTCAAAGGCTCCACTCTTGTGAGCTGGCCACCATGAACGTCTCTTTGATCCTACCAAAGCAACCCACAGCATCCTTTAAAAGGGTGGTGTCAATCAATCAAATAGCCGCAGAGATGGAGGATGGAGTGCTGCTGGGGCACTCCGATTACATTGTCTCTCATCTTCTTCTTTTTTTAATGCCCCATCTTTAGATGTTCCTTTCAAGGATGCTAATCATAATGAATTTGTCCTAATAGTGCCAGTCCTAATGAATTCATTTGCTATGCATTTGTTTCATATTTCCCCAGCTGTTTAAATGTTCCACTCCAGCTAAATTGGCATTGCTTGGGTATTATATAAGGGACTCTTACAAGGAAGTACAATTTATGAACGCTTCAGAAGAATCGCATCAGCTCCATCGGAACATTCCATCACAAGGGAATCAGAAGGGACAGAGGATCTATTTATATTTGCTGATGTACACAATAGAGCTTTGCATCTGTCCCTCATGCTTATGCAAAGTATTATGATCTTCTTTATTACCCCAATTAAATTTACACATTATGAATTTGCAAAGGGAAGGGCACCAAATTTGCTTTGCCAACGGCCTTAACAGAAATGAAAATTAGCTTCGTTTTCATCTCAGTTCTGTCCAGGCCTATTCAAAAGGAAGCCCTACTGGGAATTAATTGCACTCAGGTAAGTGGGTACAGGATTGCAACCTGATTTAGAGGAGGAAAGAGGTGCTTTAAAGAAAAGAGTGTGGCACTTAACACAGGAGTCAGCTTTTAACAGGAATGCTGGTTATTGGTCTCTTGGAGAGGGTTTGGGGGCAACAAGTATAGCCCAAGAAGAAGACTTTGAAGCTGAACATGGGGAAGTGCCTTTTGAGAGAGGTCAGACAAGTTGCCCCCATTTTAGAGGCTGCCTCTCACCAGTTTGGTTCTGCACCGTGCACAGTAATTGAGCCCCAAAGATTCACAGCAGCTCAGTCTGTAGGTATTAAACTGTCGAGAACTTATGTGCAGCTGAAGTTAAGTGTCTTATTACAGCCCTGAAGAGTGAACAACCTTGGCGTTACAGGGAAAAACAGCTCAGGGATAAAAAATAATAATTTTTAAGAGAGAAAGCTGACAAAACTGCAGCCTGACCAAAGGGGAAATCAAATCCCCATTTTCTTGGGAAGCCTGTTATTTTCCTCCCTGCATGGCCACCAAATAAATCATGTCACCAGAACTCTATATATCCGAGCAAAAGGGAGGGGAGATCTCCAAGGGGCCTTGATTCTGAGTTCAGTGGAGAGACATTGCAAAAGGATGTGTTAATCCAATTTGGTGGGTCTCTGGCAAGGCTCTGGAGTTGCTGGCCTCAGCAAGATGAAAACTGTGCAGCCCTGTTTTTTCTCTCCCCCCCCTCTCCTTATTTCCTTAGCAAGCCATTCCTTTTCAGCAGCTAATGTAGACATGGCTTTAAACATCAATGCTTGATGTTCTGCAGAGTGCAGATAGCAATGTATTTCTTTATGGCATCCCTATTATTTCTATCCAAGAGAGCTCAGAGGGCAGTGTATGTGGGAATTTGCCCTTCAGTGAGTTCTTGGGAGGGGGACACAGCCCTGCAAACAGGGGCGGATTTAGTGGCACTGTGGGTTAAACCACAGAGCCTAGGGCTTGCTGATCAGAAGGTCGGCGGTTCGAATCCCTGCGACAGGGTGAGCTCCCGTTGCTTGGTCCCTGCACCTGCCAGCCTAGTAGTTCTAAAGCACGTCAAAGTGCAAGTAGATAAATAGGTACTGCTCTGGCGGGAAGGTAAATGGCGTTTCCATGTGCTCCTCTGGTTCGCCAGAAGTGGCTTAGTCATGCTGGCCACATGACCCGGAAGCTGTACACCAGCTCCCTTGGCCAATAAAGCGAGATGAGCGCCGCAACCCCAGAGTCGGCCACGACTGGACCTAATGGTCAGGGATCCCTTTACCTTTACCTTTAAGCTACTGAAGGTAATGGGATCCTTTATATGTCCAGCTGTCCTTTGTCAACAACATAGCAAGGAGTCAATTTGCTGGCGCTGGTGCAAACCTATCTGTGCTGCAGTTTCAGTCTGGTTTAATGGCCTATCCTCTCTTATACAGGCACTACACTTTGTGGCGTAGTGCTTAGAATATGACCTGGGAGACCAGGGTTCAAAGCCCCACTCAGCTATAAAGTTCAGTGGGTGATTTTTGGGCCAGTCACTCACTCTCATCCTAACCTACCTCACAGGCAGGGCAAATATAGGTTTGATGAGGCCCTAAGCTACTGAAGGCAATGGGGCCCTTTCTATGTCCAGCTGTCCTTTGTCAGCAACAAATTGTCACTGTCTTTTGTGTTGAATATATGCTATATGGCAATTTATGGACCTAATAGGTATCTAAAGCCATTTGCCCATGTGGCCATGCAACCAGTCCATGCAAATGTAGGCACCGTATATACAAAAATGAGCAAACCAGTGATATTTCAGGGAGCAGGCTAGAAGGTGGGGCCCGTTACTTACATAATAGGAGCCTACACAACAAAAAACACTGTTGCTG